TTTAGACCACTGAGCCATCTCACCAACCCGCTCCCTCATTATTAACCAGGACCTGAGGCCACAGCAGTAACTTGCAGGAGTCTCCTGGTCGTGAAGACCTGCTGGATTTGGCCCTGGCTCTTAACTTAGGGTGACTTGCTGCACTACAATTCCTCCTGGATTCCTGCCAAACTGTGTCCAAATTCCAGGCCTATCTCCATGTGAAGCCCCAGAAGGATCAGTTAGTGACTTAGGGACTTTTTGCTTAGCTGTGTCCAGGTAAGAGCTACACCCAAGCAGATGAATCTGTCTCTGCCAGGCCAGTAAGCTGAGCAAAGTAAGGGGTGGGTCGCTTGTGTTTGCTGTTCTTCACTCCTGCAGCCAGCACAGCTGGAGGTCAGAGTGGGGCCCCTGCCTTGGTCACCTCCTCAGGAGTGTGGGTCTAGGCCCTGCTTACACCTACACTGATGTGCCCAGCCCCCATTCGCTACCCATCGCAATTCTAAGCACAGCAGTCCGTAACACTTGCCAGGCTGGTCTGACCTTACGAGGAGCAGGGGTGGGAGGATGTGCAGAGCCAGTTCTTCACATCAGCTCTGAGACTCTGTAGAGACCCGCCATGGGCAGGTGTCCTTGGTTTCAGCATTGCTGAAAAGTTAGAACGGGTTACAAGAAATTGAAAAGGCTTTTTCTCCCCCCTGAGATGGCTAGGGGAAAGGGAGAAGCAGAGACACTTTAATTCTGCATGTATTCCTCCATGATCTGGACTGGTTGATTCTTTTCCTCTGTTCTGCAGATACGACTTAGCCATCAAAGACCTTAAAGAGGCCTTGGTTCAGCTACGAGGGAACCAGCTGATAGACTACAAGATCCTGGGGCTACAGTTCAAGCTGTTTGCTTGTGAGGTAAGAGATGGGGCCAGCCCAGGCAGGAGCAGGTTGTGGTTTGCTGACACTTGCAAGGCCTTGTCAACGTCACCTGTGCCGTGAGGTCAGATTTTCCCTTGACAGAAGCTTCAGATGGGCTGATAGTATAATTCAATGTGAGACAGTTTGCCAAGGGTTCACCTTCAGCTCTACAACACAGAGTCCTCAGTTGGTGTGAATCTTAGCAACAGGCTCAATAGGCTGCCAAAGGAAGCTCCTGGGCTCCCCTGTGAGAGATGACATGAAGGTGCTCCCTGGGAAGGTATTCATAACAATTTGCATGTGTCACTCCACTGTTCAGGTTGACGAATTATTGGCTCATAGCGACAAATCCAGAATCACAGGCTCACTGTCCATGTAGCACCTGCTGCAACCTTGCTATCGCCAGGTGGCAGAGCACACTGTTTAATATTAACAGTTCCTGTCCCAGTACTTAGTTGGTACCCAAAGACAGGGGGAAGATGATTTGGCACACATCCATCACCTCTTTCTTATTCAAAGAACAGCTCAATGCACAAATTTAGGTAAAAATTTCCATAGAAGGACAACTTTTTTTCCGTGTTACCAAAAAGGAGAACATGACTGGCTTTGCCTTTGTGGGTTCATGGACTTTTTGCAAACAACCTTCCCACCCCTCCCAACCCCCCACATCAGCAGCTTTAAAAAACTAAAATCCCTGCAAATGTCTTGGATCTTTATTTAGAAGAATAGCTGAAAAAAGACCCTTTGCCTTATTTTCTCAGGCATATGAAATATTCCCAGGGTTACTCAGGGCTAAAGATAGAGTCCACAGCTGCCCAGGGCCCCTGGGGACACATGGTCCCATCCCAGCCCTACAGCAGGCCTGCAGCTCTCTCCACTTCTCACAGTCTGGGCAGAGGAGGCTTTGCATTAGGCATGGGCTGGCATCTGACCAGCTTGCAGAGGCAAGTTACCCAACCCTGGCACACTGAGAGGTTGGACCGGGTGTTCTCCATTGTAGGATTTGTCCTGCGTTCTGTGGTGTTTGGCAGCAACTCTGGCCTCTGCCCACTGGATGCCAGGAGCACTCTACCCCTGGTTGTGAGAACCAAAACTGCCTTTACTTCTACAGATTTAAGGGTTAAGGGGCCAAGCTGATTAAAATATATATATATATATATCTCGCACTCCAGTGTCATCAAAGCAGAGCTTCAGGAGAGGACAATCCTCCCTGCTGCTTAGGTTGAACCAACCTGATGGACATGAGCTACTGGCTGAGTGGGCTCCTTTGCAAGTGGAGCTTCACCTTTCGGAGTCCGAGACCCTCTATGCTGTGGGAAAGCCACAGTCATTCACCCACATTACATCTTGTTCCTCTCTTCTCACCACGGCATAACTGTGGCTGCTGAGAAGCCGCACCTCTTGTTGAGGAGTCTCAAGGTTTCTGTAGTTACCCAGTCATAAAAATCTTGCTGAGAGAAAAAGTGTCGAGAGAAGGTGCCTGAGACCCAGGTAGGAACCACCTTGAGCTCTTCTCTTTGTACACAGGGCTGAGGTAGGTAGCCAACCGTGTACAGATGCTTCTCTGCCTATGGGTACAGGTTGTCTAGAGAAACCCATATGACATTTAAAATGTCCTAAATGCGATGGGGTGTGGTGGTGCACAGCTGTAATTGCAGCACTCAGGAGGATCACCATGATTTCAAGACCAGCATGAACTACATAATGAGACCCTGTTTCTAAAAAAAAAATCCTATTCGATCCCCAGCACCACAGGCCCCACCGGTCCAGCCCCCAGGTACACTGAGCTGGCCACTGAGACCGGGCGTAGTGCCACACACCTGTAATCCCAGCACTGGGGAGGCTGAGACAGGAGAATCACTCCAAGTGCAATCTGCATAGTGAGACTCTGTGCCAAATAAATAAATATTTTTAAAAATTGAATTTAAAAAAGTCCTAAATTGAAAATGCACCTAGTAAAAAAAAAAAAAAAAAAAAAGAAGAAGAAGAAAAAAAAAGAAAACAGGGGCTGGGGAGATGGCTCAGTGGAATAAGCGCTTCCCTGGCAAGCGCAAGGGCCTGAGTTCGATCCCTGGTTCCGCAAAAAAAAAGAAAAAAAGAAAAAAAAGGAAAATGCACCTAGTGAGGGCTGAGGAGATAGATCAGAGATCCAAACGCCTGCCTGGCAAGCACAAGGGCATGGGTTCTGTCCCCAGAACCACATGCTGTACTGGCCTTGGAGCCCTGGGCACACCGTGCCAGCCACTGAGACCAGGCATGGTGATCTGTAATCCCAGACCACCTGCATGCCTGTAATCCCAGCACTAGGGAGGCTGAGACAGGAGGATCACTATGAGTCCAAGATGCAAAGTGAGATCCCGTACCAAATAAATAAAAGATTTAAGGGAGGAAAAAAGAGAAGACAACATACTTAATGGGTCTGACTGTTCCTCACAGCTAGCAACACAGTGTGGTTGTAGATGACTGGTTGTCTGTCCCTGCTTAATGACGCCACTGCCTGTATTGCAAGAGAACATCATAGTGCATATTACCAGCCTGAGAAAAGATCAAAACTAAACATTTGAAGTACTGTTGTTGTAGAAACTTTGCACCATTGTACAGTCCAAAGATCCCACCTAGAGCTGCATATCATGGCCCATACCTGTAATCCCAGCTATTTGAGAGACTGAGACAAGAGGACTACTAGTTTGAGACCAGCCTGGGGCTCAAAAAGAAGAAAGAAAGAGGGTTGGCAATGTAGTTTAGTGGTAGAGTGCTTTTACAAATGCACGAGACCTTGGGTTCACCACCCACCTCCCCTCTAGCCGTTGTATGCCAACAGTACGCAGCAGGCTTCAGGTCAGGAATGCTCGAGCAGGCCTGGGAGGGAGTCCCGGGCACCACTTCTGGGCGTGGCCTAGGCCTCCACGGAAACACCAATTCCTGCTCCCATCCAAGCCTGTCAAGTTAGCATCTCTTGCAGGAGGCCTCAGTTCTTGCACAGGAGCTCCTCCTTAGCTGCCTGAGTCTTGGCATGCCATGGCTGTGGCTTCCTACGGAGCAAGGAAGGGCAAGATGGAGGGTCACGTCTTTCATAGCCTAGTCTCCAAGTCACACCGCTTCATTTCCATAATATCCTTATCTTTCCTACTTTGTTTCAGTCAAATAGGTTTCTAGCAATCTTACTAATGCAGCTTAAGGGTTATTTGATTCTATGCTGTTATGGTTTGTGTCTAACTGTGCCCCCCAAGCCTCATGCAGTCATGGGATGGGGACTTCTAGAGTTTGAGATTAACTCATGATCCACTGAGATTATGGGTCTTAGTACTGCTGGGATTATGGATGTGAGTGCCACACCCAGCCTGGGGCTGATAGCCTGAATGAAATGTAAAGGAGACAGAGAGACAGACTTTCTCTCCGTTGCCATTGTTGCCGCTACTCCTCCCTTGGCTCCACTTTGCCACTGCCATCAACTGATGCTCTCTGCCCTGTGCCTCTCTCTCTGCCTTGGAGCCAGTTGAGTATGGAAGGAAACCTCCAGTAACTGTGAGCTGCATTAACCTTTCCTTCCTTCATTCTGAGCGTCAGGTATTTGTCCCAGCAACAAGAGAAGAATAACAGGCATATGTGCAAGTTGTGAAGCTCAGTAATAAAACAAATACTCATGACTCCACACCTCAGTTAGACCTGTAAAACTATGGAAATTACTCAATTTGCCATTCCCTCCCACCCCAGGCAAAGCGCTCCGTGAGTTCCATGCTGAGTTCCATTCTCTGCCCAGCTCCACTGAATTTTGTCCGTGGAGTTTCTCACACACCTTTGCGATGTTGTAGTCAGCTTAACTCATGTGGCCCAAACCAGGTTCTGGGGTTCTGCTGCAGGACAATGTATCTGGATCCCTCTCCCCCACTCTGTCCCTTTCCAAAGGTTTAGCCCAGCCTTCGTGGCAGGAGTTGGACTGGGGGCGGGGGGCACACACACCCAATGCTATGCTCCATTCTGCCGCCTCCAGGAGACTTGGACAAGTCCTTCTCCATATTATATCAACATGGGGCAGTTTTCATTCTTTTCTGACCTATTTGGTTGTTGGAAGAGCATTCATAATGTTGGGCTTATACCTTATATGGCGCCTTCTTAACTCCATGTTTGTGCTTGACCTAACTCAGTAGCAAGACTAATCCTCTGATGCTTCACACAGTCCTGGAAGAACTGGGGAAGGCAAAGATGTCTCCCTGCATGTACCTGCAAACCCTTCCTTAGTACTTTGATTTGGAGTAGCTTCAAATTTTCTGCCTTCGCTTTTATAGGTATTGTATAACATCGCTCTCATGTACGCCAAGAAGGGGGAATGGAAAAAGGCCGAAGAGCAGTTAGCTTTGGCGACGAGCATGAAGTCTGAGCCCAGGCATTCCAAGATTGACAAGGCCGTGGAAAGTGTGTGGGTGAGTGCGGGGTGACGCAGCGGGTGAGAGGATTCCTCGAGTTCTTACTGGTTGCAGAGGACACCACACAAGGGGGCTTTTCCTTTCTGAGAGTTTTGCTCTTTCACCTGAGCTGAGGAGCCAGGCTCGAAGGCTTGTACACCTCTCACCCTGGAGCACCGTGGAGGCCCAGCACCATGGGAGCAGAATCTTAGGTGGTGAGCAGTGTTGCGTAGCCCCCAAGCACAGTGAGGACAGAGGCTGTGTTTGCTCATCTCTGTGTCCTAGAGCCTGGCCCCAGTGCCAGGCACATAATAGCTCTCAGCAACAAGGTGTTGATCAGATGGGTAAATGGTGAGAAGTGGCAAGGATTTGAGTACGTTGAGGAGTAAAACTAGTTTTAATTGAGATGTTCAAGGCACCAGAGAGGAGAGGGCTTAAGTCAGTCTTTATATGTCTCTTCGTGCCAGCAGTGCCAGTCCCAGGAGAGCACTGTCGTGGCTCTTGCTTGGGGCCTGACCACCTAAGGGACACTACACAGACAGGGCGAGGGGCACTGCTCTCTAGGAAAAGAGACTTCTGGGCAAATAACACTGGCAGATGGCCCCAAGGCCTTGCACCATGCGGTAGTATTGAAAACAACTGTTCCCACCTTACAGTAGAGAATAACAACAAGCCCAGTCCTTACTAATTTGGAAAAACTGCTTTCGTGAGATTATTTCAATGGATCTTACATCACTGGATGAGGGGAGCGGCCACGCATTATCACCCCTGTTTTCAGATTAGGAATTGACAATCATGAGCAGCATAGGCCATTTGGGCAGCTGCACCCTCGGCGGTGCTGGTGCAGTACTGACTGTACCCCATTTGTCCGCACAGTGATGAAATCCAGACAACATAATTCTTAGAGCAGGCTGCTAGCATGAAGAACATGCGACTGTCTGTTGTTTTCTGTGTTACAGAAACAGAAGCTGTATGAGCCCGTGGTCATCCCCGTGGGGCGGCTGTTTCGACCAAATGATAGACAAGTGGCCCAGCTGGCCAAGAAGGATTACCTAGGCAAGGCCACGGTAGGTGGGCATGCGTGGGCGCCCTCACGGCCCCTCTGCCCAGACCCCATGGGACCAGGCTTCCCCAGGGCTCTGGCCCCATGAGCTGAAGATCACAGGTGACAAGGCCTGGCTGAAGGGCAAGCAAATGCTTCCAGTTCTCTCCAGGCTTCTCTCTTCTCCCTGCCGGCCTGTGGTTACTCTTGGGATGCTGAACCAGTGCAAGGCTGGGTCAGAGAGGAAAAGGTTCCTGATGAGCAGAGAACAAGTCAGGGGAGAGGACCCTCCAGGCAGGCCCTGGGCTGCAGGCTTCCTGTAGCTCACTTCTCACTGCTGTGAGGACTGCCCCCCTCCACAGCACTGTGACCAGGACTCGCACACCGGACTCCTTCTGAAGCTGGGTCTTAAATCCTTTCAGACAGGATCTAAAGTGAGTCAGCAAAACCACCCCAAAATTGCATTTGACTTTGACATGTATTTAGATTAATGGTGTCCACACAGCCACCAGTGGATGAAAGGATAAACAAAATGGGATAGATCCACACAATGGAATTACTCGGCCAAAAAAAGGAATGGAACGCTGATCCAGGCAGCAACAAGGATGAGCCCTTGATGCTGTAAGAAGCCAGACACAAAAGGCCACATGTTGTACAATTACTTTTGTTACATAAAATATGTGGGGGGCTGGGGAGATAGCTTAGTGGAATAAGCGCTTCCCTGTAAGTGCAAGCACCTGAGTTCAATCCCTGGTTCTGCCAAAAAAAAAAAGTAAAATAAAATAATAAAATATGTGAACAAGCAAACTGGTGGTTTCCAGGCTCTGGAAAGAAGACTGTAGATTAGTCGCTTAATGGTATAACATTTTCTTTTGGGGTGATGGAAAATGTTTTGAAATTCAGTAGAGAGGGACTGGGGAGATGGCTCAGTAGAATAAGTGCTTGCCTGGCAAGCACAAGGGCCTGAGTTCAATCCCCGGTTCTGCCAAATGAAATTCAGTAGAGAAGGTGGCAGCACAGCATTGTGGGTGTACTAACTTGTTCACTTATTTAAAATGGTTAATTTGATGCAATATGAATTTCACTTTAATAAAAAAAATTCTTTTTCAAGAGAGGAAGAGTGAGCTGGGTTCCTGGAGGCGAGTGAGAGCTAGTTCCTTTGGTTCTGAAACATTAATATAAAAGATGAGTAATCTACTCCTTGTACACCTCTCCTGGTACTGGCGCAAGTGAACGTGGGTCTGCAGCGTGAGAAAGGAGAACTCTTAAGGTGGGAGAACAGGGCCACAGAGCCCTCACACCCTGCTGGCCTCATTTCAGGTTGTGGCTTCTGTGGTGGATCAAGACAGCTTCTCTGGGTTTGCCCCTCTCCAGCCGCAGGTGAGTGGTCCTGCCCTGCTGCCTGGACCTAGTCTCTAGAGATGTGGGAAAAACAGCCCCCATGAGAGCTGTGCTGAGGTGCCTCCTCGTGGGAGCACCTTGCCAGCCACTCCGTGCTGCCGAGGGGCTGCCTGCCTGTTCAGCCCAATGTCCAGGGCCCGCCAGGATGCCAGACATGTCAGCTAATCTCACATCTTCATCATGCCTCTAAATTCTCATAGATCTGTTGTCTTGTGAAGGAAGCCTTGATCATTCCCTTAGAAAGCTGAAATGCAAGCTGTAGAAACAGCCCCTCCTAGGACAAAGGGTTGAACTGGAAATGGGGTGGTACTTTGCACCAAGCTACATCCCTAACCCCACCTCCACACTTTTGAGACAGTGCCTTATAGGTCGCTAAACTGAACAGGCTGGGCTGAAGCTTGTGATCCTCCTGTCTCAGCCTCCCAAAATGCTGGATTATAGCCATGTGCCACAAAGGCCAGCTTGTGCAAGGCTTTTTAACCACCCTGGGCCTTGGGTACTTAGGTTCTCCTGGCCCCATTCATTCGCTTCTGTGTAGGGGATTTTCCTGGCAATGCCAATGAAGTGCCAGGGAGACTCAATTTTCAGACCTAAATGGGCACAGAGAGCTGGTCTCAGCTGAGAAGAATGGTAGTGAATGTAGAAAGAAGGCAGAGCTTCCTTGTGACTAGAGGAGGGTAACATAGGAGGCCTCCTGCAGTGCGGCAGCGAAGGACAGGAGCCTTGGGAAACATGGCGGAGCGTCCTGAGCACAGACCCTCCTGGGCGCAGGACAGCACTGAGCGCCTCGCTGAGAGAGCACGATCACTCTGGCACAGAGCGTGACCAACGCTGGGCTCTGGGGAGCGTGATGAGCAAAGAAGGACAGTGGAGGGCCAGCATGCAGACTCCTTCAGCTGCTTCTTCACAATAAAGTTGAAAGAGTCCCAAGAGCCTTGAGTTTCAGTTTAGCCAATGGGCTGCAAGAGGGGACAGAAGCCCAGATAACTGGACTCCAAGACATTCAGTATAGAAAAAGGGAATCTACATTGGAAGAAGATTCTGACCTGTCCAATGGGTCCTGAGTTGATTTTAAATACCCAGAAGTGTCACGTGATACAGCAGATATTAATTATAGAACAGAGCTGTTGGAAACTGTCCTGGGAAAAGGACTGAGCTCAGGGGCAAAGCACTCTCTGACACCACATTGCTCTCTGATAGCTAACCTTCTCCAGAAGCCAGCGCTGGCTCAAGTGGAAGTGCTGTGCTGATGAAATCACCGCCTGGGGAGCTGGTGGGAGGTGCTATTTTCCAAGGTTTAGTCAGGATGGCTGTGCCTTCTCCCTAGGCAGTGTTCCCATCAGCCACAAGGGCAGCCTCTGATTTTCTGGATTGGAAGAATGCTCACATTACCATTAATGGTCTGCTTTCTCTCTGTTCTTTCCTCCCTTCATTTGTCCCGAATGTTCCATAGGCAGCTGAGCCTCCTCCCAGACCCAAGACCCCAGAGATCTTCAGGTAAGTTAGATCCAGGTCCATCTGCAGAGTATTCACTGCCAAGCTAGAATTGATGGCAACAAACTGGTGAAGAAGATGAGGCTGGTCGAAATCTGTGGACTTTTCTAGAATGTGAGGCTCCTTCTGTTTGCAAGCTTACAACAGACTAATACAGTGGGGATGGGAGTCTTATTTCTTGTGGAACTGACCACCAGGGCCTGGCTGCAGCTACACTGTGTCCCCATGTCCCCACATCAACGTGCGTGCGTAGCAGCTTATGTGGTAAGGGCTTGTGGAAGTGCAGCAGTTCACAGGGGATAAAGTCCAAGGTTAGAGCTTAGCTTTGTGCTGGCATCGGGTCCCCTCTGGAGAGGAGGAGGCTAGAGCTCTCTGGCCCGGAAGCTACAGTGGTGTCCCCTTTCCTGTGTGGGCATTTCTCACTCTATTGGCACATGTTCTCTGAAGCAGTAAGAGGAAGGACTCAAGAGAAGGAAGTCATTCTTCTGTAAGATAAAAAGCAACATGACACAACCTACAGTTCTCTTAAGAATTCCCCCAATGGGGCCAGGGAGATGGCTCAGTAGAATAAGCGCTTCCCTGGCCAGTGCAAGGGCCTGAGTTCCATGGTTCTGCAAAACAAACAAACAAACAAAAAAACCCCACAATTCCCCCCCCCCATGTAACAAAAGAAGCCTATTTAGTGCCTTTACAATTAAAGAGTCTAGAAAATTGAAAAGTAACTACAAAAGTGAGAAGGTTGGGTAAGTGCCCTGGAGCTGGAGAGGAGTCTGCGTGACAGAGAGCCTGTTTGGAGACAGAAGGAAGCACAGAGTGTAATGTGAGCAGGAGCCTGTGAACCATCACACCTGGCATGGAGAGCAGCCCCGAGTGGAGGAGTGAGGCGGGTCTCGAGGAGTCAGGAAGGCAAGCGCTCTGCCCAGCACACGGGGAGGCTGCTGGGAGCCCTCTGTGCATCCTTCAAGTGGCTTGCCTCACCTCTTGCTCTTCATCTCCTTCCCTTCCCTGGCCAGAGATTTCTCCGCCTCTTCCCGTTCATCCTTCTCACTTGGCTTCCCCTGCTCCCCTGACCCTCCTTGCCCACCTGTGGGACCCGGCCAACTTTACCCAGGACCCCAGAAGGGAAAGTAGGATAGGGACTGAAAACTTCACTATCTTGTATTGATTGGGTATTGTATTTTTTTTTTTAAATCCTTATCCCAAAGCATATACAGTTGTCCCCCTTTATCTGCAGTTTTACTTTCTGAAGTGTCAGTGACGTGTTGTCTACCACAGCCAAAAAATACTAAATGGAAAGTTCCAGAAATAAAATTCTAGAATAAATTTTATTCCAGAATAAATTCTAAATGGTGCCATTCCAAGTAGCATGATGAAATGTCACACTTCCTGCTCCCTCCCACTAGGGACATGAATCATTCATTGTCCAGCGCATGAGGCTCTGTGTGTTACCTGCCCACTGGGTACCTAGTGGCCATCTGCCTCTGCAGTCAAGATGGTCTGTTGTGTGTGTATCATAGTGCGTCTGTTCAAGTAATCCAAAGTGTAGGAGTCTTGCTAAAGAGGAATGGTAAACAGCTTCCTTTAAGTGAAAAGGTGAATGTTCTCGACTTAACAAGGAAAAAAAATCATATGTAAGGTTGCCAAGATCTACAGTAAGAGAATTTTCTACTTGTGAAATTTTGAAGACAAAAGCAATTCGTGCTGGTTTTGCTGTCACACTTCAAACTGTAAAAGTTACAGCCAGTGTATAGTAGTGTTTAGTTCAGATGGGGAAAGCACTGCATTTGTGTATGTGAGTATAAGAAAAAGCAGTATGTTGAGGGGTCAGTACTATACGTAGGTTCAGGCATCCCCTTGGGGGCTTTGCTCCTAATCTGTAGGAAGTGAGGGGTGGTGGTGGGCAGCAGTTTTATTCTGTGTTTATGCAGCATCCTCACGTGCACTTTCTCACCAACCTCCTTTGGGAGGCCAGGTAGGTCACACGGACAGGTAGATGTGAAGCTGGGACCACTAGAGCCACTTTTATCTCTTTATGCTGGTCCCACAGTACCAAGGGAGAGGATGTGGTCCCAGCCAAACCATGGGCTGGATCTTCTGTCTCCCTTCTTGCAGGGCTCTGGAAGGGGAGGCTCACCGGGTGCTGTTTGGATTTGTTCCCGAGACCCCAGAGGAGCTCCAGGTCATGCCAGGAAACATCGTCTTTGTCTTGAAGAAGGGCAATGATAACTGGGCCACGGTCATGTTCAATGGGCAGGTGCGCAGAGGTTCCGGGGAGGTCCTCAGGGTATGGGGCCTGGCAGGAAATGGCAGAGCTTCCACTTGAGTGCTATCTGCCACCTTGTTTGCAGATCAGCCAAGTGTTTCGGTCTGTGGTTGGTTGCTCTCTGCTTGTGTGGTGCAGGGCTGCTGCATGGTAGGAACAGTGATGATCACAACTCTCTTTTCCCCTTTCTGATTCAATGATGCTGCCCTGCAGAAGGGGCTCGTTCCCTGCAACTACCTTGAGCCGGTTGAGCTACGGATTCATCCTCAGCAGCAGCTCCAGGTAACAACGGGCCTGACCTGTTTCCTCCCACTTTGGGCAGATCTCTCTTTGGAGGGGAGAAAAGTAGCACAGAAGAGGTTGTATCACTGTCTCTGAAGAAAGACTTGTTGGTCTTGGGCCAGCTGAGGTGGCCCTGACTGCTAGGAGCTAAACCTGGGGACAAAGGAGGAGGCCCAGATGTGCTGAGCAGAAGGTCCACTGGGCCCGCTCAGCTGTGACTCCTTCTGGTCAGGGTGGCTTGGGAATCAAATCCTGCCAGTATTTTAAGGTTGTGTTCTTCCCACATGGGTCTGTTTTACCAGAAGAACAGCCAAAGCATTGGTGCAATGTATTAAAGACAAGTAAGATCTCTCTTAACAGTGTTGAATGAGAATAGGCCTCCCAGCCACTTTCTCCCAAGCTGACACCTCCTCTACCAGCCCCTAAAGGAGCTTATCCTTTCGCCAGGCCTAAAGACTGCTCTTGGTGGGATCTGAGCAGCCCCGTGAGTGACCTGATGGCCACAGAGCCTATCTCCTGATGCTATAGGATCATAGCATCACTTCCTGTGCTTTGGTTTCCAAATGCATGACAAGAGAAGCAGAATTTTCCTTTCTCATTGCTCTCCTCAGCTGAGACAAGAGCATAGTGTCCCACCCTCTCTCCAGTGTGTTTCCAAGGCATGATGAGGTGGCAAGGGGCTAGAAGGTGATTGTTAAGGTCCTTTCTGCTGTGACTTTTCATTAGGCTAAACTCAGCCTGTCCTTTAAATCAATCTTTTTTTTTAGCCTTTCTGAAATGTCAGGACCACTCTAATTTTGAGAAAGTCATTTGTATCTGGTTCCTTTCCCCCTTGACCCTGTCCTGAGAACTTTGTCTAAATGAAGATTCTTCCTCTTCCTGTCACCTCTAGGAGGAAACCTCCCTGGAACCTGACATCCCACCTCCTCCCAGTTCCAATGCCCCAGGGAGACCCCAGCTGTCACCAGGTTAGTGGCCCTGAAGCAAAATCACAAGCCCAGTTAAGGACTATTTTTGGCTGGTTTCTGACAGAGAAGGTCTCTCCTAGCTTTCCAGGAAACTGTGGTTTCTTCTCCCAGGGTGCCTATTTATTATCACCCAAACCAAGCTCCTTTGTCTTACATTGCCTACTCACCCCAAACACATCAGTGTCTTTTCTCCTTGCCAGCTCTAAAATACTCATGGGACATGGTTGAACATGGTTTCTGAGGGACAGTGTCACCTTGCAAGTAGCCACCAAAGCCCTTACTTGTTAAGTACTGAAATCATATCCCTGAAGAAAAGTCGCGATAATTGCATGTTTTTTACACCAGAGGGGCATGGAGCAGCTCTTCTCAAATGTCTGAGGAGTTTTATCTGGAAAAGATACCACTCTACAAGGACCTGGAAGAGTGCCGGGTGGGCAAGAACCAACAGGAGATGCAAAAGGGAGATTTTTCTTTCTGTAAGGGTCTTGCATGACTGTCTGGGGAAGCAATGGGCTTTCAGTCACTAGTGCAATTTAGGCAGACTTTGTACCACTTCCATTAGCAGTGGAGAAGGGTTCCTTTTTCCTCACATCCCCAACAGAATTTACTAGTTGACTTCTTTTTTTTTTTTTTATAAGTGAAGTTTTTTTTTTATTTATTTTTATTTATTACATTTATTTATTGTGTGTGTGTGTGGCCAGCTCAGCCCACCAGGGGGCGGGTCTGGCTGGCATGTGGTGCTGGGGATCGAACCGCGGTCCCTGTGCTTTGCCAAGCTTGTTTCAAGTAGGTGCTTTAGACCACTGAGCCATCTCTCCAGCCCCCGACTAGTTGACTTCTTGATGAGGATGGAATTTGTTTTGGAGATGGAATCTCAGTGTTGTTTTAATTTGAATCTTTTGAATGACCAAGTGAAGCTGAACTTTTTTTTTTTTTGCAGAACCAGGGATCGAACTCAGGCCCTTACACTTGCCAGGGAAGCACTTATTCCACTGAGCTATCTCCCTGGCCCCTGAACATTTTTTAAAAAGTATATTTGCTTTTTCTAATTATTCATTTGAGAAGCATATCCATCTCACATGTTCATTTAGAGTATGAGTGTAAATTTGGGGGACCTGATTTTTTTAATTCTTTTATGTTCTAGATATTAGTCTTTTGAGGAAAAACTAGTTAAAATTTTCTCCCACACTGTGGATGGTCTTTTCACTCTCCTGGTGATTTCTTTTGCTATGCAAAAGCTTTTTAATAAGATGAGATTCTAGTTGTTGATTTTTTTGTATCAGAATTCAGAGTTGATTCTATTTCCCGTTGGGGTTTTGTTCATGAAGTGTTTGAAGCCTTTATATTGAAGTGGATGCCACTTGAAGATATACTTGTAAGTGAAATAAACCAGACACACATGTGTAAATATCGTATAGTTTCCCTAGT